AGACACCCAAGCCTGGCCGAGACACCTCTGGGTGTCTCGCCGAGGCCAGGAACGTAGTTCTGCACGTCTTGTCCGTTTTAGCCGTATCTTCGTCGTTCGAACTCGGAATCCTACGATTCAAGATGCATCGGAAAGCCGCTGAGAAGATGGAACACGGGGGTGTTTCATCTTTCGTAAGTGACGCGGAGCTCCCGATCAGTTCGTGTTTTCGTTATTCCGAAGTTCTGTTGCTTCGCATGGTTCGTTAACTCACTTCATACGCTTGTCAATGTCGATTAAGCTTCTATGACTCGAATTGTGACATTCATCATCTTCTCTGTGCCTCGAGCTACGTGTGAGGGCCCGTAGGCAATTTTAGACGCCTACACACCTCTCACACAATATTCTTGAATTGGGCTATACCCTCTTCTTGTTGGCCTTCTTGTTTTGATGATGTTTAACAAACAATTTACTTCTAATGTTGTTTGTCTAGTGTTTGTGTTTTCATATTTATTCTAGGCAAACAACGAGTTGGAGGATGGATGGAATATCGCTTTAACGACGATATCAAATGGAGGTTGGCAGAATTATGGAGAGAAGCTTATGCAATTCAAGTTTAAGCTTCATCTGCAAGCATACCAAGATAGAGCTTATTGAAGATCAAAATCTAGCTTGGGTAACTTAGTTTAGGTTTTATATTATGTGTGTTAAGTACCTTAAGCTCAATATCATATACACACACGTATTTGGTTTCTATGTATATATATAGTTATATATATACATGCATGGTTTTGGGTTTTCATGTTTATAAATATGAAATTACATATTTCATATTTATTATTATGATTTGGTTTAACTACTTAGATATGAAACAAATATAATTTCATATACATACTCATATGTTTTATTTTCTATTGTATTTTGATAAAATACTACATTCATTATTTATAGACTTCATAACAATAGTTTACATCTTTCTTCAAGTCTATAAAATCATTTTGTAATGTTTCAAAACATGGTTTAGCCAAAATGTCAAAATTCACATGTTTACATTTTCATGTTTTGGCCTATTTTATAAAATGATGATATTTTTTATTTGGGATGTTCTTTTTGGAAACCAGTTATTGTGGCATATTTATTATCATGTCTACAATCATTCCCCAAAGTTTTATATTTTTTGAAATTTATTTAATATTTTTAAACAGTATTTTAAAATCAGAAAAATAGTTTTCAGAACTTTATTTTTATATATCAGTTCACGGTCGATTGCCACGGTCGACTACGCCTGAGTCCTTTGCATATTGGGCAGCAGAAACTTTCGCGGTCGACCACCACAGTCGACTGTCGAACTCTCTGGAGTCTTTTCTTTCGTTTTTGTTGCTCGCGGGCGACCGCCGCGGTCGACCGCCGTTCAGCCCAACGGCTAGTTTGTACAGAATCTCATTTCCGATTCTGTGGGTTTTTGGTCTTTTCCTTTGGGGTTTTGGCTGAGATTTTGGGAGGCTATAAATACCCCCTTATACCTCAGTTCTTATACTCATTTAAGAATGTTTTAAACAAGTTTTTAAATAAGGGTTTAAGTGTAGTTTTAGTGTTTGTTTGGTTTGAAGATTGTTTTCACAAGTGGAGGAGATCATCTTCTTGTTTGGGCTCCAATCTCCCTCTTTATCTTGTCATCTATTGGAGAAGTTTTCTAAACTCTATCTAGCTTTACATTTGCTTAGTTATTTGATTATCATTCTTTGAAGCTAGTTTTTATATTGAGTTTAGATTTGATTATATTATCTCATTGTTACACACACCCACTTGAGCTTATTGTATTTGCATACATAGTATATTAGGGTTGTGAGAGATTGTAACATTGAGTTTGTGCTTAATTGAGTTCTCATCTATTGTAGAGAACAAATTTATATTTGTTACATTGTGAGTGGTGTAAGGTTTTCGGTGAGCTAGAAAACCGAGTGTGTTGTGAAGTTTTCGGTGAACTAGAAAACCGAATGTGAGGAGTGAACGTTGATCGTTCAGTGAACTAGAAAACCGAGTGTGAGGAGTGAATGTTGTTCGGTGAGCGTTGAAAATCGACACTGTGAGGTGTAAACGTTATTCGGGTGAGCGTAGAAAACCCGGTTGTGATAGTGGATTTCTCCCCGGGAGTGGGGAGCGGAGACATAGGACGGAAGGTCCGAACTCCGTGATCATATCGTGTGTTTGAGTTTGCTTTGACGCACTTAATCTTATGTTTATATTTCTTGTCTCCATTGTCCATAGCTCATTATTTATATCATCCACTATCTAGTTCATTTTGTTTACTCTTGTATTAGTTTATATATCCTTGCATATATATATTTCATCATATAGGATATATCCCATTGTTTACATTGCTTATCCTAGCTCATATATCTTGTTGTATTTCATACTTGCTAGGATAACTTAGTAATTAGTTTTTAATTGGCATAAAATCGGATTAGATTAGCATAAGACCCTAATCACCCCCCTCTAGGGTCTAACACTTCTAACCCTAGATTACAAGAATATTGGCTCTCTCCCCTCTACTTAGTTTTTCCTCCAATAATAGAATAATATACATAGGAAAACCAAAACCTTACGCCTAGCCAAATTTTCTAATTAACATAGGATACAAACTTCTAATCATGATGAGACCCAATCTCCTAATCATGATAGATCTCTAGTCCTATCTAATTCTCATGAAGTTATACAAAGAATCAAAGACATAATCCTAACAGTTCCACTAGTAGAAAACAACACAGTCCAAACGGTCATTGCAACCGTTTGGACAAGTCGAAAAAGCCCAAACGGGTCTAACCGTTTGGGATAATAATCCCAAACGGTGGAAACCGTTTGGGCTGTTAAAAAATCCCAAACGGTTGAACCAAACGGTTACAACCGTTTGGGATATATTAGCCCAAACGGTTTAACCCGTTTGGACGTTTTGTTTAGTTCTTTTAAAAAAATTAAAAGTTTTTTTTTCTCGGTTCCCCCCAAAAATTTCATCCCAGCACGTAAAATTCTTCCCCAAAAATTTCAAGACCGAACCCTTTAAAATCCCTAACCTCCTCGTCCAACCGCGTCGAAAATTCCTCATCTGACCCCGTCGAACTCCGACCGCAACGATCAAGGCCATCGATAGGCTTTCATCCCAGCGCGAAAAATTCATCCCAAAAATTTCAAGACCGAACCCTCTAAAATCCCTAACCCCCTCGTCCAACCGCGTCGAAAATCCCTCATCTGACCCTGTCAAACTCCGACCGCGGCGATCAAGGCCCTCGATAGGCTCCCCTCGTCCTCCTCGGCCGCCGCGGCTGTTCGAGTTTGAAACTTGGTTGCCTTAAAAATGTAAGGATGAGTCATGTCATGTGTTAGAGAGCTAGAAGTGCTCACCTCTAATCCTGATTATTTTGAGCTTGACAAACCTGATTTTGAGCCTATTGCTGCTATCGGTATCGAAATCTGGACATATTGATAGCTGGTGATGAGAAGATTGCCGAGTCGTATAGAGAGAAGTTATTCTGAGCTTGCTTGAAGAAATTGATGCAAACTGTTTGCTGAATGATATCTCAGAGAATAGTCAGTGTTGATATATAAAAATTTCATCTCGTCTTGTGTTTTTCTGCAGGTTCTGCATGATGCATTTTTCAAATATCAGACTAAACCAAAGCTTACAACACATGGTGATTTGTATCAAGAAGGAAAAGAGTTTGAGGTATTCTTCTGATCCTGTATCTTCAGACTATTGTATTATGGGCTGTTGCAGTGGAGTTAATTCTTTTAGATATTAAGGGCATATTTCACAGTTGATTACCAGACTGTTCTTTTAGGAGAGAGATTTGGGATCCTGAAGCTAGGGTTTTCAGTTTTGTTTCTTCTCGCCGTCCAAAAATGTTAACCCTGTCCGTCTGCTGAATATCAAACTATACTATGGCTTAAATTTTAATTGCATCATACTTGAATCTTATTTATTTTGCAATATGAAAAACTGTTCAAAGCGACCGACCCTTTTTAGAATAATCAGATGACTAATTTTATGATTTTCGATATACTATTGTGATGGGTTTGCTAAAATTATTTCATCCTTAATATTGAAGTATAATACATCTCCATGATAGTAGAAGTGTAAAAAATGCTAACCTTCTTGCATTCATTGGTTTCCATTACGTTGATTTTCTGCATCTGAAGTTGGTTCTCATAATCATTATATGTTTTTGAGGAAGTACCCACTTCTGCATTTAAACAAATAGTAGGGTAGTTAGAATGCATTCATAATATGTAATTTTTGATGAATTTTAATTTCTACCTGCCCAACATAGTACTGTTTTTGTGAAAGCCAAAATTATGTGTCTTATGGCTGTAGAGTAGGCATAATTTCTGTCATATATCTTCAGGTCTCAAGACATTTAGCATGCTTTTTGTTATACTTTTTTGTTGGAGAGACTTTGCAGCTTGATAATATTCATGCTATTTACAGGTCAAACTGAGGGAAATGAAACCAGGAATGCTGTCACATGAACTTAAAGAAGCTCTTGGCATGCCAGATGGTGCTCCTCCTCCTTGGCTTATTAATACGCAGGTTGTTGCTTACGCTAAGATTTTATAGAAGCATTTCTTATTTTATTGTACCTGTAAGCATAACTAACAGTAATTAACTTTGTCAGAGATACGGTCCTCCGCCATCTTACCCACATCTGAAAATACCAGGACTTAATGCTCCTATTCCTCCTGGAGCCAGCTTTGGTTATCATCCTGGAGGTTGGGGAAAACCTCCTGTTGATGAAGTAAGTTCAGCGATACCTTTTTATTGACATTTTACAGGTAATACCTGAGGTTCTGGAAGAGAAGGAAGAGAGAGTTGCTCCTGGGACTCTGCTTGTAACAACTCACACATACTCATTTTCGAATGCTAGCGAGTTATTTTTAACATAAAGAGTTTACTTATTTTCGACTGTTTTGCAGGTTGATCTTCTTCGAGGTCCAAAATCAGATAAGGTGGAAGTCACCATCCAACCAGAGGAGTTGGAGGCTATGGATGATGTTTTGGCTGCCAAGTAAGGAGGAACCCTAACAAATAACTCGCTGGGTCCTATGAAACTTATGGATGTTTTCTAACTATTTCATGATTTGATGTTCAGGTACAAAGAAGCACGCGAGGAGGAGAAGCTGAGGAACCAGAAGGAATACTTCAGCGACATGGTTGCAGAGGAGAAGCTGAGGAACCAGAAGTTTTTTCTTAAATATATCTACTCTTTCCTTGTTGACTTATATTTGAATACTTTGTATCGTGTAGGAGCTGGTCATCGAAAAGGCAACCTCATTTTGGATATTAGAGACAAGTATATAATATTAGATGCTTTTCATTGTGAGAGATTGAGCACATTGTGTATGTATATGTTTTGTCTCTAAGTATATTGAGTAAACATTGTGTATGAATATATAACATTGGATATTTAGCAAAGTATGAGAATATTTTGATTTCATTGTGAGATGTTGAGTACTTATTATGTGAGATGTGTATATAAACATTCCCAAACGGTTACAACCGTTTGGGCGACCGTTGGGGACAACTCGTCCCCAACGGCTTTAGCCCAAACGGGTGATTTGAATCTCCCAAACGGTTGGAACCGTTTGGGAGGGGGTTTTCCCAAACGGTTCCAACCGTTTGGACAAGCCAGTTTTGTACTAGTGTTCTAATAGAATTCTGACTCGAGTTCGAGTCATCATATTATCAAGAGAACTCAACCCAAACGGTTACAACCGTTTGGGCGACCGTTGGGGACAACTCGTCCCCAACGGCTTTAGCCCAAACGGGTGATTTGAATCTCCCAAACGGTTGGAACCGTTTGGGAGGGGGTTTTCCCAAACGGTTCCAACCGTTTGGACAAGCCAGTTTTGTACTAGTGTTCTAATAGAATTCTGACTCGAGTTCGAGTCATCATATTATCAAGAGAACTCAATTCTTTCAATTGAACTTTCAGAAATTGGAGCTTACCTCAAATTCATCCAATTGTAAGAGAGTAGGCAAGAGTATTCGAATCTGGAACCATTGAACAGGAAGCAAACTCATCCAATCATCCTTACGAGCTAATAAATAATTAACAAACTTTTCCCCTAGAAATTAAAGTTCTCCTCAAATTTATCCTAATTTCAAAAAACCTAGTAAGGGTATTCAAAACTGAACTATTGAGCACTCACTTAACTATACCGGCAAACCTTAATGGATAGTTAACAAACTTTGTCTTGAAAAAAAATAATATTGTGCTATACTATTTCCTAATAAGGGTGGTAACATGAAAAGGTATATAAATTAAAAAATAAATCATCTAAGTTATTTTTTCAAATGATAAGAAAGCTAATACTGATTTATGCTGGAATATTAATAATATGCCCTTAAATATCCAATACAAATTGTGTAATATTTATGAAATATTAATAGATCTAATTGTTGCACATATAATTTGGGTATCATTTACATAATTATTATGTATCCTTAGAAATTAGTGGGTAATTTTAGAAAATAATTTTTTAAATTTATTTTCTTATAAAAATAAATGTTTTAAAATAAATTTTATTTATGCTTTAGGAATTACAATTTATGCATAAGCAAATTGGTGAATTGTCCTACTCAAAGAGTTGCCTAAAATAAATGATACTAGAGGGGACTGAATGTAAAATATTAATTTATAAATAATTAGTCTCATATTATAGAAAAGCTTTTATGAATAGTTGGTCAGATAGGGGTTTAACTATTAAATTAAAAGTATTAATTTGACTAATAATTGGTTTCACTAATATCATTAGAAAAGTTTTACATGCAATACGAATTCTATTTTATCCTTAATTACTATGGATAAAGTTTTGAATAATTCTATTCTATATTTGATCATTATGGATAAAGTTTTGAATAATTATGAATTCTTTAAAATTAAAATCTATAAGGCTAGCCTAATCCTATATATAGGGTTTATATGTAGTTTTGTGAAGACATTGAAAATATTATGAAGATAAGATAGAGAACAAGTTAGAGAAAATAAAAAAATTAAAAACCTATCTCTCAATATTGCTTCTCTTCAGTGACGAGTAGATTTTAATTGGAGGCTTTTTTCTCGAGGAAGCTTGGAAATTTTTATATAGATCTTGGGAGATGGAATTTTCAAGTAAATATTGGAATATGGATTATGAAAGATCGGAAGCATTCCACGTATTCTTTTAAATTTAATTAATTTTAATTAATTATCATGATATGCATATTCTGCCTTGTCGTACTTCGTGTTTCCAACAATTTAAACAATTTGATGTTTTGTTTGTTTGCAAATAATCCTAAAAATAAGAGCATGTTAGGCAAATAACCAAAGTGGCTTGTAAGTCGCTTTGATATGTTTGACAAGTGACTTATTTTTGCCTATAATCTACCTTATTTTTGGTCGATTATAAGCCATGAAGTTAGACGAAGTAAAATATAATTATACCCATTATAATTTCATAAAAAACCTTATTTAGTAATACACCATCAACCCCATGTCTCTTTTAGTCTTTTTGACAATAATGATGGATTATAATCTATCCATCTGTCAAGTAATCTACTACTGAAAATCAATTATAAAAGCTGCAAATTTACTAAATGCTCTAGATTATACTTTATTTGAATTATAATTTCATTTGTGCATTATAATCCAGTGTTTCCAAAGATATTTCAAGGGAGCTTGGATTTTTTTTAAGGATACTCAGCATTTCCAAGGGGTTTGTGAAATTTATCCTATATATAAATAAATAATATTATTAAAACCATGGAATAAACTCTACCATCCTCATTACAATAGAATTATATTTATATATGTCTTAACTGCACTTAAATACCCTATAGTTTTCTCTACTTCGCACTTTTCCCTCACTTGTTTTCGACAATACTTATATATCCTAAAGTTTTCAAAACTTCAACTTAATTACCCTCAAGTTTACATAATTGAGGTATTTAAGTAAAAGTTTTTAAAAAATAAGGATATTTTAGTATATAATTTTAAGACTTTATTGTACATAACCGTTGTAGTGATGGTATATGTTTTTGAACTTTAGGGTATACAAGCGCCTGAGAAAATAACTGAGGTATATACATAATATACATGGGCGAACTTATATAAGAGCAACTAGGGGCATGGGCCCACAGGAAAAATGTAAAACAAAGTAGATAGTTCTAGACTATCGTTTACAAGTAACATGAAGATAGTGCAAGGACTTGGGAATTTTCATTTTCAGCTTCTTTAATGCAGAAGAGTACTTAAGTAAAAATCCAGTTTATATCATTTATGTTAGCGTCCCACTGATTCCACGTACTTCGATCTATTGGTCTCTGTCCTTTTGCTTTACGAGTCTTTTACATCCTTTTACCTGTATCAAATTTCGTCCTCTCTCATCCTCTCTCTTCCCACTAATCATGGTACATATCTGTTCTTATAAAATAAAATTTGTAAAAAATAAAAATCTGCATATTTAAAATAGAAATTAAGGTTTTAACCTTTAGGTTAAAAAAATAAAAATATAACGTATAAATCTTTTGTTAATATCTCCAAAAGGCAATTCTATTACATATTTTATTGTGAACACCATAAAAAGTTCTCTTTAGAAAGAAATTTACAATAATATATAATTAAGAAAATTATTTAAATAATGATTACATGATGATATCCACTCAATCTCAAATTAAAATTTTGTATAATGATTTTCAATCAACGTATAATTGCATGCATTAGAATTATAAAAATTAAATGAAGCATACTTAACTATTGAACATTTCTTATTAAATGAATTTTAAATATTTCCATTTACAAACAAAATTTTATTCCGTATAATATCCAAAGAAACTATAAGGTATTCAAGCACAATTGAGGCAGAATTTTTCATTTGGGATCGTTTAATACAACTAGCACAATTATCCAAGAATCTCCAAGTGGCTAACATGCTTAGTTAGAGTATGACTAGGATTTTCAAATTAGAGCACTGAACTACTTAATAGGATATTTGAACTTTTCAATTGGATTTATGGATTAAAGCACAATTTCACGAACTATTTGAATTAGAGTTGTGGTGGTAATTGTATATTTAAATATATAAATATGATTTATATAATTAAAAATTTCAATCAAATATTTATTATCAAATATTTTAATAATTTATTATTAATCATGTTATACTATAATTGTTAAATATAATATGTATTTAATATTTATGTGTTTAATACATTATATCTAAAAATTAAATAAAAAGATATAAATGAATGTAATATTGTATTTAATATTTAAACTTTTTATATATATAATTAAGAAATTGTTAAACAATAAACATATTAAATATAACATAATATATATTAATGGGTTAAATAATATATTTAATATTTAAATGGATTAATTAAACTTAAATAAATTGATTAAAAAGATTTTAAAAATTAAATATATTCATGTTAGAATACAAATAATTTAGAGATAATAAATATTTAAAATTAGGGAAAATTGTGTCAAGGCCCCAAAAGTAATAACTTCATGTGACATGGTCCCTCCAACTTTTCCCTATATGCTGCAGCCCCAAAATTACATATATATGTTTGCGTCAGAAATTAGCTTCATTGTTGGATCCATTACAACGTTTATCATTTACACAGATTCAAAAGAGTTAATCTTTTTATAAGATTTCTCGTTACAACATATGAAGACTTCTTGGAAACACACGTAGGATCATTTATCGGTCGATGTTTGCGTGGGATCTTTGCCTGTGCCGGGGACGT